CTGACATTAACCTAAAGCTACTCACCATTTTGGCAACAGTTTGCTAACTATTTAAGAAGCTTTTCATGCCAAATGATTGTTAAAATGGAAACCTAGATTGCTGCTTGTCGGACAAGGACCGACTTAGGCACTGCCAGGCTCCTTTGTTGCAAGTGGTTAGAAATACAGTAGGTGAGTAGGAACATGAACCACAGGAGCAGGGGAGTGGATGTGGGATGCAAGGTACAGTTGAATCCCTTGTGCTAGCAGAGCCAGACTGTTTCAGACTTTACTAGGGCTCTTTTGACTGAAAGCATGACAGGCTGACTGCTAAAGTCTGTCTGTTCTCTCCAGTCAAAACCATTCGAGTGTCTGTCCATATCTTGAAAGACAATTTAAAACAAAAGCTGCTCCCGTTTTACCCAGCAGTTACACGATTGCCCAGCGTGACTTTCGGGAGATCTCTCTCCTCTCCCCTCGGCAATATAAGCCAGCATAGCTACTATAATGATCCTGCAGTAGCTGTGAGAGCACTGTGTGCGTGCAGTGCTGGTTGCTGGTGGTGCCTGTTTGACTTTCAGCACATTGATGTCTCAGTGCAGCAGGGAGGAGGAAAGTTTGCTGACGGGAACTCTCCAGTAAAGGAAAGCAAAGCCCTGTGCACAGACTACTGTAAAACAAACCAGAAAGAAAGTTAAGCTGAGAAATTGCTTTCTTGCTACTTCTGTATTAGAGATTTGAACACACCCTTTAAAAGTTTCCCAGTGATGGAAGGCATTGACTTTCTGAAAGACACTCCTGCTACAGATTTGATATCCCTTTGGGACTGTTTGTGATTTCTGATTTGGATACTTAGAAAACAAAATGCAGGATCTTGCATGCTGGTGAAATGCATGAGACTTCACCATGAGGTGAAACATCCAACAGCTAACCAAGACATCCTCTGGTCTAGCTTTAGCTGTTACCGCGTACCAAGAGGAAGCTGCCATCCTTTCCAAGTCTTCCTATTAGGGGTGACACCCCCCCACCCCTGAGTCACGAATGATATTGATGATACTGATGAACGATATTGAAAGCCAGGAGCTTCCAAATTACTGTTGTTCACACAAATTTTGCACTTAAATTCAGACTTTTAAAAAACACACACAAACACAAACACTGCACGGGTCAAGCTTTCTCTTACATCCTTATCTCCCAACCCCTTCCCCTCTTCTCTCTTGTCCAGCAAGGCACTAGGAAATGGTTCAAGTTTAAGCATTTGCTGTACATTTACATTTAAAAAGGCACATCTTTATTTTAATGACGCTGCATTCCCCTTTCAGTAAGGCCCACACATTCTTCTATTATAGTGTAGAAAAGAAAGTTAATTTCCCAGGCATGAAAAAAGACATCTTGCACACATAAGAGCCCCAAACCTATTACTCTGTTTGCAGGCCTTAGAGATTAGCACCAGTATAAATCAACAAGAGATTCAAGAGCAAATCAAAGTATTATTATGCAACATAACACACATCCAGGGATCCCCTGTTGTCTGGGATTCTGATACTTAAAAGCAACAGAATTTATGCAGCCTCGGAAAGAAGGGTTGTTTGAATATTTTGGGGGAAAAATATGAAAACATTTATTTGGCATTAGATAATCACTGGTATTTAATCTCCAGTCTTGACTTGCATGCAGATGTGAAGATTTGCTTATGTATTCATGCTTTAGCAATTTTGCTTACAAATAACCGAAAGTAATTGGAATAATTAACCAGATTGCCCAGCAAAGGCTCAATTAAAGATGTAGATGATGAGATACAGCTCCTATTTCTCAGTCAGTGGATGGTTGGCTATATTAAGTCTTCTCATTAGTCAGCAAAGCCTCTAGGGTATTGAAAATTATAATTGATGTAAATAAATTAATAGCTTAAAGCCCAGTGAGCCAGTCAGAAGTGTACAGAATTTGTGGGGCACTTATCACACTCGGATCCCAAACCTTCAGAAAACAGATCAGATCAACCATACTGACAAGGACCCAGTAGGACCACTCACATTAAAGCTCCATTTTCCATGTACTGGTGGTTGGTAGTCAAACAGGAATTGCCTCAACAATTACCTCATCTTTTGGTGCACACTGCACCAAAATTCTCTCCAAATTAAGATCATTAAGTGGTAAAAGACCTGTTCATTACTGCAGTTCTCTCTGAAGCAAGCATCCAGCAAGCCAAGCAGCTAGGACTCTCTTCACAAGGTGAGCCCAAGTACAAAGCAAGCCATGCATATTAGAAACAGAAGCTAATCCTCTCATTAGAAAACTAAGACACACGAAGTTGCAAGCTGCAAGCAGAATGACCTACGGTCCATTTACATAATTTGCTGATTGTGTCCCAATTATAAAAAACTAGCACTGTTCATGGACAAACAGCTTCTTGTTCCACAGGTATTAAAACATTCATAAAGACATCTAGTCAGGCCATCTAGCGATCCACAGTCAGCACTACTAGACTAATGAGAGCATTAATAACTTAAGGAAAGCAACAGTCAGACACAAAGCACTAGAAAGTGGCTCTGCCTCCCACAGAAATGAAAAGGGATCCTAATGACAGACGTATTGCAGTTACTGAGAACATAAGATGTTCAGCTCTGTTTGACACTGGTCTCACTTCCATAGCAATACTGCTGCAAAACTGTCACAAGGAAAGACACCAACACATTTGGCAAGCCTGGTCCCAGCTGCAATGCAGTGCCCGTGTTTCCCTTGCTTCGTGACTGCATGGGCCAGGTAAGTTGGCAGAACAGGTCAGACATGGCCTCAGCTAAGAGGATGAGAGAGGTGGAAACGATTTTGAGTCTCATAGTCAATACATAGAATCACAGAATCATAGAATCGTTTAGGTTGGAAAGACCTTTAAAATCATCGATCCAGTCTAACTGTTAACCTAATGCTACCAAGTCCACCACTAAACCAATTAAGGGTCGAGTGATAATTATGTTCCTGGCTTGGTGGCTGGATTATTTTTTTAATGAAGTAAAACTAGGGATCACTAAGGTTGGAAAGGACCTCTAAGATCATCAGTCCAAACATCAACCCAACACCACCATGCCCACTAAACCATGTCCCAGACTTGAGAGCCTGAGAGGCAGCTAGTTGTGTCCTAGTCTGCTCCCAGTTGACAGACACAGCACTACGTGGCCTCAAAGATATCTGAAACACGGACAATGATCCTACAATCGGCGACATCAGAAAGGGCTTCTTACTTCTGGAGCTCTGCAGAGGGAGCCAGCCTGCTTGTTTCTTGACACCGGGCAAAAATCTCCTTGCCTTCACAGGAAAGACATCCCACAGCAGAGCTTCCCTGCCCCTCCGAGGAGGGGATGTCCATTAACCGTGCTTATCGAGGGTCCCAGAGGGGTGCCCTGCTCCTACCCTGAGTGTTCCAGCCTTTCACGCTCAGAGCTGGCTGCACACTACCTCCTCAGCTGGACAAACTGCGGAGCTGGGCAACTACTGGAAAAGGGCTAGTTTATTGATTTACGCAGCATCTTTGCAAAAGGTTAACTGCACCATCATTCACAGCTTTTACTAGAAAATGCCACTGCTGCCTTCAGTACAAGACCAAGTGGGCTGAACTATTAAATCTGTTTTTGCAACAACTTAATTTTAAACCACTGTGGGTTTTTTTAAAACACTTGCTTCAGATAGACTTGAAACCAATGGCCCTCCATTTATTCTTTAGTGTCAGTACTTTTTTCCAGCACCTGGGATGAGACAATTCTCGTTCAGTGTCTTGCAGATTCTGCAGCCAAACCAGAAGGGTAATACCTTGCACTGCTAACTGACTACACAAGGGACAGGGTACTAGTGAAATTGGCCCATTAATCCCACATCTCTGGTTAAGCAGATTTCCAGTCGCAGCAAAGTGTGCAGTGCTGTGGATGTTGGGAAAGGAGGAGAGGTTAATAGCATGTTCCCACAACGCTAGAACTGACCGCAGAACCCATGACTGCAACAAACTACAGACTGAAGAATAAATGGATAAAGGCCAATGGCTAATCTCAGCCATGACTTAATTATCCTCAATTAATCTGCTCACACCAACTGTGAATTAAGTTAGCCTTCAAACCTCTAGAAGAAAAATGGAAGTTGCCTTCATGTAGTAGATTTAACTCTGACAAACCCTAGACGTGTCTGTGCTAAAAAGATTCTGAAAAAGAGGCAAATTTGGAACCTGATATCCAAAGGCTCTTAGCAAAAATCTTTACCTGTAAGAACTGTGCTTACTTAAAAACCCTCTGCTAATCTTTCACCTTGAAGATTCAACAGTGAGTGACAAACTGACTGCAAAGTGAGTGGACCAGAAATCCAGATTCCCCATCGCTAATAACTAGAGCGATATTCCCAACACTTGGCTGCACTTCCACTAGAGCTCATTCTTTTATGAGAGCTATGATTTGGAAAGTAATAATACTCAACCTGTCCGAAATATATTTTGGTTTAGGGCAAAAAAAAAAAAAAAAGTTTTACTTTTTGATGGCTCTTTTTTTTATGTCTATGACGTCAGAGGATTAAACCTTGTGTTCAAGATTTTACTTAGATGGACTTTGGAAGATAAAGCACCTATGTGGGAACGCTTCAGCGGGTAGTATAGCAGCTACAAAAAGTCCTGGAGGGTCCTGGGTAACAAAATCATTTAACACCAGACCCAGGTGAGAAATAAAACAAAACAAAACAAAAAAAAGCAAAAAGCAAAAAAAAAAGCAGTTTGAATCACATTCAGACTCCTCTAAAAACAGAGTTTCTGTTCAGTCTCAGTACAGAAGTGGCTCTGGCAAAGCCTTTAAAATTCCACCATCCCCAGAAGAGAAGGATGCAGCATCTTCACAATAAAGACTGGCCTGCTAGTTAACCTTCTCCTGAGATTCTCCCTTTTACCTTCATTAACTGTTTAAAAAAAAAGTATTCTTAAAAAAATTTTTTTTTCCCCCCCCCCAAAAAAAAATATAATTAAAAAATATATATATATATATTTTCTCAGTCTTTTAAAGATCAAGATTTCTGTTAAATTTTTCCAAGACGGTTGAGTTTGTATGTTCAAATATCCACTGCTGTGTCGGAGATGAAGGATTGCAGCTACTCATAAAGATCTTTCGGTCACTCTCACTGCAGTCCATACAGCTGCTGCTTACTGGATGGTAGAGGGTCTTGTCCTGCAGAAGAGAAATTTGATGTGAGGTTGCTAAGCAGAGAAACAAAGCTGTTTCAAAGCCAACAGAAAGAAGTCTTAAAAACCAAGGCAAGCTATTTTGTCACTTGGATGTACTGGAAGAAGTTGTTCCATACTTAACCGGTTAGCAAGTGTCAGGGTCCATTCCCACCCCTTGCAGCAGTATCCAGCCCAATCCTCACATCTGCACTGGGAAGCTCTAAAGCTATGTCTGAAGCCAGGTTCTCCAGCCCACAGGCTCACATCCTGCTGCAGTCGCTCCGCGCACTGTGCACGCAAGATTGCAAGGACTAGGACAGGACGTTTAGTGAAGAATTTACTTACCTGTTGGCCACAAAAGCATTGCTTATTAGGAGGATGAATAAATCCTTACCTACTTTTGGCATGATCTTCTACTATTCAGAACAAACCAATAAATACAGCACACCTCTTTGCAAACAGGTTTTGCAAGCGCGTTACATCACCTCACTGCCAGCTATGGACAGAACTGCAAGGAGAGCGTCCTTCTGCTCAGCAAGCCCTGGAAGAAGCAGTCCTCACCATTTCTAAGCAGTGGAACAGGGGAGTCACCTCTTTCTAATCAAGGCTAATTAATGGCACAATGGCAACAGATTGTCTGCAGATTCTCTTATCACAGCTACATGAAGAGAAGGAATAAAACATGTGTGGTGACATTTTAAGTGCCTACAGGCAATTTGACAACTTAAATGAGAATATGGATATGCGCACACACTCACTTTTCGGTATCTCCAGAGCTGGTTCCCCTTCATTCCATGACAGTCATAGAGAGTTACAGGGCTGCTGTGGGAAATGGCATCAAAACAAAACTTCTTGGTATGCTGAGGATCCCCAGGACGGATGTCTTCTCTCCAGCTGAACGTGAACACCTGCCAGGACAAACAGGACCCTCAGGATGGCTGGTACTGGGCACGGTGCTTTCACCAGCAGAACGACGTTCCCTTCTTTGCCCACAGGGTGGGGATGGCTTCAGGGAAAGGACAGTATCTTCCAGAGAAAAACTACTTCCACCTCTGGGGACAGTGACTGCTGACTAGGGGAGGCTGTAACAGCTACCCCGTGGACTGCCACACAGCATGCTAAATGAGACTGTGCTACTGCAAACAGCCATGCTAGTTAGCTTGGGTACTAATAGCAGCTTTGAATGTCTCTGCAATGCAGACATACATCATGGATTAAGTGAGCAGCTGACCAATTACAGCACTTCACAGCTAGCAAAAAAGGCAGAGAGCTACAGGAGCCCAGAGTTAAAGCTGGCAGTAAATACCCGAGTCTGCACAGGCAGCCTGCAGTCACCTTGAGAAAGGTCTGTCCCATGCCTTCTGGGACAAGAGACCAGGAGGCCCGCAGCTCCCTACCCCGCTCCACAGGAGTGTCAGAAGGGCAATCACCAGGGCAATGCTGCCTGGTGCTCTCTTCTACTGACCCTGCAATGATCTCTCAGCACTTTTGGGTGAAATGAAAGGAGGGATACTACAGAAAAGAAGAGAAAGGGTTTTAGTTCTAGTAACTAGGCACAACCTATCAATGCCTGGCAATGCTGTGGCTTTGATGGAAGTTGCTGGACGCCAGCATACGTGGCCTGGAAAGCCCTGAGATTGGACCACAGGAGAACAGTTGGTGGAAGTACCACCACATGCATGCTCTGTTCCTTGCGCTGCCCCTGTGGCATTTGCTTTTGGCCACGGCTTGAGACAGTAACATGGTCAAGCTGCATCTTCAGGCTGATGATCATGGCTTGGCTTATGACATGTTTTAAGCATCGTAGGACTGAATCCCACAGAAGATAAACTTGTTTAAAGGCAGGCACTGCTGTCAAGCTTTTGCTTTCTGCTTTGACAAGGACAGCATCTCTGGCAAGGGTGCAAGTGTCCTCTATGACCAGCACTAGCCAATGTGGTTCTGCAGGGCTACTAGCCAGCACAGCTCCCTCAGTCCCCAAGGGGAAAGGCTGTTCTGGGGGCTCCTTTTGGAGCCAGGTGGAGGAATGGTCCTCTCTTCAGAGAGATCTCATGGGGCAATAAGAAAGACCAGTAACAAAAGCAGGGTGCTACTTTGAAGCAGTGTGGCCAAACACTTTTGCACAAAGAAGCTACTTTGTTTCTGTCTCCCTTTTAAACCTCTCTTGGGAGAGAAATTACCACAATCATTTAGGCTCAACGCTACACAGTTGTTCAAAACACATTCTCCTCCCAAACATAAGCCAACACTAATTGTTCAAGATCCTCCTGACACAACAGAAGCTTAGTTTTGGACTGTGCCTGCGTAAATTGGTTTCGTGTCTAGTTTTCATGCATCAAAATTGATATGCAACAACCCTCTGTCTCCTACTACTGAAGCCATTCCCCTGAAGAGTTATGCATGGCTCTGTAATAAAGGCATTGTTTTCTTGATCTTTTCGCAGCTCAGCTGCTACAGTTTAGACAAACTAATATTTCCTTCCCTTCTGTTACAATAAAGCTGTCGTTTCTGGCACCTTATATGTTGAGAGGGTGAATCTATAGCCTGGCCGGTTTCATCTCTCTCCAGCAATGGTTGGGTGTTTATAATGCATTTGCCTCCTGTCAGAAGGATGATAGTAAGCGGTTATTGAATGCTCCTGCAGGTTCATTAATATGCATGATGCTCCTCCATCACTTCTTTCAGCACAACCTTTGAAGTTAATATTCACTTTGTTACATATTACAGCTGCCTTGTTACTGGTTTCTTTTATTATTTTGGCATATTGTTTTCTTGTGCTTTCTTTTGTTCACTCTGAGAACTTCAAAGCGGAGGTAAAAGCTCTGCACAAAGTCTGCCAGGCTCCAGACCCCGCCACAAGCACAAGCCACATCCTGCTACAAGCCCATCAAGTATAATTAGCATATGAGCCTTGGGGTGCACAGCACCCTCTGTTCACCTGACAGAGTTCTGCAATGGCTTTCCTTCTCAAACATTTGTTCTTACAACTTCTCCCTCCCCAAATTTATTTAGGGGCCGATGAATTATCAGAGGGACTGTTACCTGCACATTGTTCCATGCTGCCTCTCCTCTGTCCTTCACACAGTTTTCCAGCCTCAGTGGGGATCCCAGGGCTCCATGCTTAGTATCCACACACAGTCCAGTTCCTACATTGCGTATCTGAAATAGTAAATTAGTCACTGAATCGCCTACTCTTACCAAGTGACAGGAAAAAAGGTTTAAATTGCCTCAAATAGTAGCACTATTTGTATGAAGACAGTTTTAAGATTCCTCACTTAACTATTGTCCCGGTTTCAGCTGGGATAGAGTTAATTTTCTTCCTAGTAGCTGGTATAGTGCTGTGTTTCGGATTTAGTATGACAATAATGTTGATAACACACTGACGTTTTACTTGTTGCTAAGCAGTGTTTATACTAGTCAAGGACTTTTCAGCTTCCCATGCTCTGCCAGATGCACAAGAAGCTGGGAGGGGGCACAGCCAGGACAGCTCTGGCCCAAGGGCTATTCCATACCATATGGTGTCATGCTCAGTATAGAAACTGGGGGAGAGTTGGCTGGGGGTGGCAACTGCTGCATGGGAACTGGCTGGGCATTGGTCAGCGGGTGGTGAGCAATTGCATTGTGCAGCATTTGTTTTGTGTATTCTTTTATCATCATCACTATTATTACTACTTTCTCTTCCTCTGCTGTCCTATTAAACTGCCTTCATCTCAACCCACGGGTTTTACTTTTTTTTTTTTTTCTCCGATTCTCTCCCCCATCCCACTGGGGGTGGGGAGGGTAAGTGAGCGGCTGTGTGGTGCTTGGTTGCCGACTGGGGTTAAACCACAACAACTATGTATCTGAGCTGGCAGTAACAGCTAGAAGAAAGCGCAGGAACTCAAAATGGGACACATCTTCAGCTGTAGAATAACCTCCAGGACACAGCAAAAGCCATTAGCCACAGGACTGCAGAGCCCACTATGTTGCTGCATGTAACAATCCACAACTTCAGTCCTGGGGTGATTCTTTTCCCGCAACACAGGTGACTTCCAAAACCAGCGATAGTTTTCCTGGCTTTCAGATGGGAAAGCTAAGGAGCAGAGTAGCTCAACACAGCTGTGTAGCCCTTTGGAAATACAAGATTCCTACTATAGCTCAGCTGCCACCTCCCCCTAAGTTCTCCCTGTTGGCATGTTCTGCTTTCTACTAAATACGCAACATGCAGAACAAGCCAACTCTCTATTCTCTTTGTAGCTGTGCACTAATAGAAATGGCTGCCTAACTGCCTTCTTTGATCAGGCCAACATAATGGTAGAGGAGTTCTGGTCTTTGAAACATATCAAACAGGATCTCTAAACACTCACTTGCCACCTTACTCACAGCAAACTGGTACTGGAGCACATGGGTAAGGCAACTTTAAAAAACCAAACCACAGCCTGTTTTCCCACTGCAGATTTCAGAGCATGAACTTGCCTCTCCCCAAGCAGCTGCTGGAGGCTCCACTGGTGGGTAAAACTTTGGCAAGTCCCATGCGACCTCGTTCATGAACCACTTGAAGCTTTTGCAGTTGAGGTTGTTGCGAAGTTCCTTCTGAGCTGCGACGTCCCCTGCAGAAAGATGCCGGTACTCTGGTCTACGCTGGTATATGAACTCTGCGTATTCATCCATCCACACCTCAGCCACCCGCTTCAAGTTCTGCGTGGGTAACAGCCACGTGTGAAAATGAGAGGGAAAAACACCTGAGAACATTCTGCACAAACTACTGGCATTAGCATTCAGAACAGCTCTCATGGTTTTGCTCAGAAAGGATTTTCATTCACATCCACTCTTTCTCTCCAGCTTCAGAACAAAGATTATTTTTATTATTCTCTAGTTCCAAGGGACTTTTAGAAAGATATTGTCAGCTGAGGTCAAAACAGAATCCTGGCACTTGGCCATTATATCTAGTTCCTTGTGGCTAAGAAAAACAACATTAATCAAAAGTTGGGTTTTTTTTCCCTTTTCTTCTGTAAAGAAGCTAGTCAGAAAGTGATGCCGGTAAATACCCCTGGACATTCAAAGGTCCCTGACAAAAAGCTGCTTTCTTAAATCCTTCTTATTGCATCTTTTATATCCATCTAGGAATGGGATTTGCAGTACTCCCTTCTGGAAAGCTTCAGTTCACAATATTCTTTCTTACCACTATTTTTCCATTTTCTTGGGTAAAAAGCTGCTTAAGAGAAACTCTGAGATACTGCAGGAATGTGGAACTTTCAGGTGATGACCCTTCAGAATAGAAGCAAAGGATTTACCTGCTGGCAGCAGTATATTTCACGTATCGCTGTAAAGTTTAATCCGCTGTGTAATTCCAAGACAGCAATGAACACCACCCTCTCGAGATATCCGCCCTACTGCTTGTCACAACACACTCAAGAAACTGTTGGACCTTGGACTGTCCTCTGGCAACATCAGGTACATTCGTGGTGCCACACAGTAATGTGCCATGGCCAGTCATGATTTCAGTGACCCAGCAGCACTGCCCACCTTGCATGAAGGTGGTCAGTCCAGCAGTTGTCATTTACTACCAAAAAAATTAGGCCTTTAAGAATGATCAGTGTGCCAACCCTGCCCCAAATGCAGCCTATACAAAACAAGAGCAGGTGTTCATCTCAAGGTGTCTGTACGAACTTAGATGCCAAGAAACAGCCTTTCCTACACCTGTCCACCAGCTCATTCCAGCACGGTGGGAGTATGCAAGAGCCAAACACCTAATCAAAAGAAATATAGCTCCTTCCTGAAGAGATGGCACAGACAGGAGAGCACTCTATCGCTCTGACAGGTCATTGCTGGGCTGAGTAATAAATCCAAATCTATAACTAGGGCGATGCTATTAAACTGGGAAACATTTTAACACTGTGCAGCCATAAGACTGCAGAACAGCAGGGTACCTTTTTGTGGTTTTTTTTAGTTTTGCAGCCTTCCTGCTCCCATGACTTTTTCTCCCACCAGAGGGCAATACAATCCCTTCTCAATTTGGAAATTAACTGGAGAAAGCTAGTGCATGATAGGCAAAAGCTCTTTCCTCTTTGGGCTACACTAGATTAAGAAATAAGATGGCACAGAACGCTCCGTCATGGAAAATTACAGCTTGCCCATTCAGTGGTCTGTGATGCTTGAGGTTGAGAGGTCTTTCAATCACCAAAACACAATCACCACACTGAAGCCTGCTGCTCTTGGAGAGCACAGCTATAAAATGACTGAAGTGTTATACAAATAAAGCCATATCTTGTTTTTATTGGTGATTCCACAGCCACTGCCTGATCACAAATCCCTTCCCAACACCTAGCAATGGCTGATGTCTGGAGCTTGGCAGCTGTCTGCACATGAGCCTGCAGCTCCCCTAGGCTCTCCTCCCTTTGTGCTACACATCTACCACTGCAAAACTGCTCAATTTGACCACAGGACAAGCACAATTTATGGACTACAAAGCCTACATTTGCCTCCCATTGTGGGGTGAGAGGAGACAACAGCACGGTCACATTTCAGTCAGACATCTGTCATGGGGAATGCCACTGCCACTTACTCTTGCCAGGCTGACTCCTGTTGGAACCTTGTATGGAACATATTTTCTGTAGATATGACCAACTCTAGAGCAAGGGATGTCCTCCATGCGACCCCCACACATCCATACCTGTGAAACAGCAGAGGTACAGATTCATTCTTGGTTATATGGAGAAAAATGAAGAAGAAAAAAAAGAAAGGCTTTCAAGCCATGAAAAAGCTTAACCCAGATTTTTTACTTTGAAGTACACTCTCTCCCAAATACCCTCCCCTCCTTGACTTAGTCTCAAATCCTATAACTACCCGCTTAGAGCCATGCAGCAAGCCTTGATTTAGCGCAAGTGCTATCAAGCCCAATGGATAAACAGTTCAGTTTTGCATTCTTTAGAGAAAAGAACAGGAAAAATATCCAAGCACCCAGAGAACAGCACACAGCACACTCTAAATTGATATATGTTATTACAGCAATAGTAACCACAATAGTTAAACTGGACCGCCATATAAAACCTGGGTGTAGGTTGTGTAACGTTGCTGTAGAAGGGAGGCCATCTCTGTAGTACAGGTCATGTATTATGCAAAACACTCCAGGGAATTCACGAGCCTGTTCAAGTGCCAGAAACCAGAAGAAAGTGCTACTTTTTTTCCTGTGGTTATCACTGCTTTCATATGGTTTCATTGCTGACATGCACTCATTGCTTTTGCAGCTTTACAATTAAGTAGAAATCCCTGCCTGGTGAAAACATAATTAGCTTTAAAAAAAGCCCTCAGAAAGTCACTGTAACACACTGCTAGTTGAAGAACACTACCTTGATGATTGGTTAATGTCTAGATTAGGCCCAGAAGTTTCTTTCCCCATCTGGGAAGATTTCACTCTGTGTCAACACTCTGCAACAACTTTCTTTTATTCCTTACTTATAGCATGGATGTAATAATTTTGTCCAAATGAAACCGAAGGAGATGTGTTCTGAACCAGCCAATCTACTTCATTAGGTTTAAGAAATATATTTATATGTGCTTCCCAGAGATATCTGATCAATACTTAAAGAAAAAGTATCCTTCAGTATGTAAAACAAATTACTTTCTTAATTCTTGAAGCACGACACCGTCTTGCCCTTCATTTTGTTGTTAATGCCCCGAAGGCAGCAGTATTTAAGAAGGTCCGCTGGTGCTGCTGGCTGATGCAGTGTTCTTGATCTCTCCATTCACTGTGGCTAATTTGAGCCACCGCAGTTCACTGTACAATGAGCTTAGTCAACAGCTTCACACATAGCAGGCAATTCCATTAATATTCTACAGTGACAATATTAAATACTTAGCTTGGAAGAGAAATATTTGGCCAAGGCTGCTGCATAATTATTAGCTCTGACACTAAAGTCCTCTGGAGTTTCAGCTCTGTCTACTGGCCCTAATAATTACAGTCATTTGCTGACTGCGTATAACTTAATGGAGGTTCATTGCTCTCAGTTAGAAGACTATTTTTCACAGGCAACTTTTAAAGTTCAAGGTACTTAATTACATGTCGTTACAGTGAGAGAGACAAGAAGAAAGTTGACAAACACTCCTTCTACAGAATTTCATTCCTTTTGTCCCTGCTGTGTCTTGAGAGCTGGTACAGAAGAGATGAAGATGAAAAAAGAAACTAGCGCTCAGCTTCTGTGAAGTTTCTAGTGGAATTAGAAATGCTTCTGATTCTGTAGCTGCTGTGCTTTTTGCTGCAGAGGGCCACAGTGAGATTTATCTGCTAGGAAATTAACAGGTAGACTGAGAAAACAAGAATTTGGGGATGTTTTGTGTTTCTATGATAGAAATTGTTTGTGCAAGGCTGTAAGAGCTGCAACAGATCTGGGAACTATAAAAAAACTGCAGGAACAGCTGAAGAAGCCTAGAGCTCAGTTGCACAGACACACACGCTCCTCAACAACCCATATTCTTACCCTGTGCACTGCACACTGCATCGTGAAAGCCCTATCGGTTCACAAGCAGCTGCATTTTGGTGTAACACAAGCGTGAATGAAAACACCAGCTTGTTATCCTTGCTGCCTGCCCACAGCATGCCTTACCTGCCCTTGATCTCTAAGGAAAGGCGTTCAGTCAGACCACTGTGAATATGCATCTCCTCTGAAAACACGACTTCCCTAAGTAATGTGAGAAACAGACCCCTGCAGTCAGTATGCAGCTAGAGAGGAGAGCACTGTCCTTGCACTGCAGATCTTGTGAAGCAATAATACAGACAGCACTTATTTACCAAGTGGTACGTTGGAGAGGCAGGGGGTACAGGAAGCTAGACAGAACTGATGATATGTTGGGCCAAGAGCTCCAAGCTGGTACAAGACTCCAGGCACAGAAGACAGCATTACATGAGCACATGTAATGACATAAGAAAAGCTGCTTAACTGAGTCACTGAGCAAGTAACGAGTACTGATCAGTTTTACGTGCTCTTTTCCTAATCATGCTTTAAAATATTTACTCCCAAATGACGCTGCGTGGAGGCAATGGAAAGCTTCCTAATTCCTGCTTGAAGAGCTCAGTGACCCTTTCAAGGTACTTTGCCAACCCAGTGCCTTTTTAACATTGTCTCATGCTGCAAGTGACAGTGTGGCACTTGCAGTACAAATCTAATTTTAAAAGCATGCTTTCCATTCATTCATTGCTGCTTTGATTTATTTTATTAGTGAGCTTCTTTGTGTGGTGACAGAACTCATTACAACCTCCATAAAGACAATTACCAGTCCTTATCTATAAAACTGGAAGAAGGGGGAGAGGGAAAGAGCGTGACATGCATTGGTAAAACAGAGCTAATAAAAGCATTAGAAAGCTAGAGTTAAAGGTCAGGGGAATCACGTCCAAGGGTCTGTCAAGGAATAACTGCAAGTGAAGCAAACCCAAAATAGCTGCGTGCTAGCTGAGAGAACGCTTCCAGTTAGCGATATTTGGTTGTCTGTAAACTAGGGTACAGTTCACAGGCGTGACACACCAGAACTTACACTCCTAAAACCACAGCGCTGTCAAACAGCTGAAACAGCGTGGTTCTGTGGAGCAGCACCTTGTGACACTGACTGCCACTTACTGTGTTCTCCTTAGGCCAGGGGAGCCAGTTTCTTCTTCTTCTTGTTTTACAGAAGGGTGAGATGGTGCCTCATCTCCCTGGCTGACACGGCAGTAAACATCAGAGCCTGAACTTGACGCACTTAATTTCAATCAGTCATCTACTAGAATGCCGTAAGAACAAGAATTAAAGCTGGTCAGACAGCAGTGCTTTATACAACGATCTAATCAGATCTCATTAGGAGAGAACAGGAAATTTCTCTTCCTCCTCAGGCAGAATTTTACCAATCTACATTTTGAACTAGGGATCTAGCAGCTGACAGATCTGCTGGAATTAAGAGAAAACCTGGCTACCCCGAGGCCAATGGGCATACTGCAACAGATTTTTCTAAGGCCACAATCTCACCCTGATAATAAAACCATATACAAGAGAAGTAAGATAACAACACTGGTGATATTGCTTCCATCTTCTCAGTGGCCTGGAGAGCTGTAACTCCGTATTCATAAACCGACTCAAGAGCTTTTGACTCAGCTAGTATGCTATGAAAGCACAAGACAATATGCCACCTATTCTCTACATGGGAATGCTATGCTGATCCAATTCCCTTTCTGCTATTTCAGAAAACAATGTCACGTAAGACAGCTGAACCTCTCCTCTCAAACACACAATACAATACCACAGTTGGTGTGCGAACACAAATTATCTGGGTATACAAGGTTTACGGCTTCCAAAGATTGTACCACAATGAACCAATACCTCCCAAGAGAGGAAAAAAACACAAAGGAAGGAGTCAAGCCTTGAAAAGAAAGCTGCTTCTGCAAGCCACAACAGAAATAAAGACCATGGGATGGACCAACAGAGAGAAGCTAGCTGGTTGTCTGAGCACACACTGAAAGGTGGGAAGAAAAGGACACAGTGGATAAGTCAAGGGGGATCTCTGCATAACAAGGTAGGTGAGAGGTGAGATGAAAGCAAGGGCAACCAGTAATTCAGGAAAATCGTAATCATCTGTATTCTAAGCATCAGCTGCTGTTGCAGCTGGGACTTACTGCTCTATAAAAGATTAAGGTAGCTGAAAAGGCGCTGGGATCTATGTGTTTGCACAATGCCTTCTCTCACACAACATACACCAGGACAGCCCCTCCTTATCATCTGGAGCGTTTCAGAATAACAACAGCACTTTCCAATAATCATGTTTCAGAGTGTGTGGGGGTCCATTTTCCTGCTGCTGCTTGGTGGGACACTACTCTGGAACCTGAACCAAGCACACAGGATGAATTAGAGGCCAAAAATTAAGTCAATGGTCTGAAACTGATCTCTGCATCACCAGATAGGAAGGGAGAAAGAAGCCACCCTGTACTGCAGCTGAGAGCCTTAGAATTAAGCAGCATGTGCTGGCTTAAAAAAAAAAAGCAGCAGAATGCCCGGCCTGTTTCAGTGTGGGCAAACGTGAGCTGCTGGAAAGTGGTGTGAGTATGTGCCTGGAATAAGCAGCGGAGGCTCACAATCAGCACTAACTTCACCCATACAACTAGAAATGCTGTTAGAAGTGATCCCTTGGCAGCTGCACCCTAACTATGCACCTGCCAGGAGGCCAGTGGCAAAATGTGAATCAGAAATGTGCTGCTGACATGGGACAAAGGAGATAGATGCATGCATTAGATATGCGAACAGAAGCTATGGAGCACTTGGATTTGTTGGAAAACATGCAACATGTTTTATGCTGTGGAAATCGGGAGAAGCAATCCCTGTTGATGCTTTGGGAAAAGGATCTATGATCACCAGAATAAGTGAAGTGGACATTTCCTATTGCTGAAGCAAGGAGAGAAGACCATGAGTACCACCACACATCTCTTTTGTCTCCCCTTAATAGTTCTTTTCAGGGCAACTGTCCCTATGGCTTGTTTGCACCAGTACAAGACAAAGAGTTCTAAAACTGATGTGATCTATTACCTAGTGAGGGACATTCCAGATTCTCATTCTCTGCTCTTGAAATACAACGTACAAATTAAAGGATTGAGAACCACGCCACTCAAGACCCGAGGTACAAAGTACATCTATATTTATGCCTATACAAGTCAGAGACATCACTTCTTCCTATTCTGTTTCCCCATACCCAAAAATCAGAGACTGTATATTTATGGAAGAGAGGCGTGAAGCAGTTTAGTGAGGATTACGTAAGCCAAACAGAAGCCACAAAAATACTGGAAAAGAGGCAACACGATCGCAAGTAAAACTGAGTGTAGATAAGTACTGTACAAAGTAGCATTTGCAGAAAGGAATGGTATGAATGCTTCATATATACCACTCTGAATGAAATACATTGATCTCAAAGAAAATGAAGTGGTTACGTAGGCAGCAGAATATAGGTATTTGTAGAGAATGCAGGAGCATTCAGAAAATCAGAGCTATTAAGTTGTGTTTAGAAGAGGAAAGACAAATTGCCACTTTGGGTATTTGATTTTGAATACTTGAATTGAACTTTCAAGCCTTGCAGAAAGATACAAAAGACTAGGAAAAACTCTAAAGGAGAGGGGTATGGAAGTGACTCCCAAAAAGAAAAAAAAGCCCTCAAGAAAGTCCACTGAACAGAGAAACTAGGGCTGTAGAGCCAGGAGCAGCAGAAAGGAAAGGTAACAAGTGCTGCACAGAAATAGCTGAACACGCTTGTTTCCCTTTCTCCGAAATACAAGAATGTACTCAAAGGTCAGCATTCTGGTAATCCACTGAGATAGAGGAGAACAGTTCTTACACCATGCAGGTCCGCAGAATAGTTTGCCTGGAGCATTCTGCAAGCCAGGTTCACGAAAAAATGAGGCTCATTTGAACAGGTATAATGCCTGCAACTAAAATTCAAGACTGCAATTTTCCTGTTGCATCTGATGATGACCTGAAATAGGAAGCCCTCTGACCTGTAGAAGTACCGGGTTATAGGCACTGAGGTATTCTGCATACACACAGGTCAAGAGAAGGAAGAAATGCATGTTTTCTGCTTCAATATTGAATGGATAGATCAACTCCTTCATTTCTAATCTAGAAATTTCTCTTTTAAGGGATTGAGAAGACCCAGAAAACCGCAAACCAGCAGTTAGGGTTAGAAAGGTTGTTTCTAATTTAAAGGTCACCTAAATTTTTTTGTCACCCCAGCATGCTTTGTTTTCTAGTGATGTTTGGTATACACATTTCATCCAAGGAGCAAGGCTTCTATTAACAGAGGTTGATCCATCCCCTGGCTAAATGTTTTCTGACCTGCTAAACACTGACGGTTTCTCTGCTGGCTTGCCTACAGCCTGGAAGTCTCTTCTCAGAAGGAAGCAGAGCCAGCTGATGACAGAAACACATATGATCTCAAAACAGAAAGGCAAGAGGCTCCTAAATAAACTTGTTTATTCACAGTCTCTCAGCAACGGAGCCCTGGATTTTAAAATAAAGGCAAAAAACTGTAAAGTACAGTCCATACATGGCCAAAAAAGAATATGCTTAAGGGGTGGGGGGGGGTGGGGGAATCTATTCCTGGTGTGGCTTGAGAAGGTCAGATTTGATGGAATGGATCAAAGACCAGCAGTACAGAAGAGTACCTGCACCCACAACTCCCAGGCACAGGAATGGATACTTTGTTAAAGCTGGGCTGTAAATTTGGCACACTTAGAATCTGAATTCCCATCAGATAATAAATAATGTGAAAGCAGGTATCCCACGCTTAAACCCAGAGCTTTAAATTATTTGACAGTGCTCCTTTAACTAAAAAATCTCAGTCTGCTTCTAAAGGTAAAAACATAGCTCTAAGCTTGCCAGGAAATGTCATAGCTTCATAAATTCTATGAACAAACCTTTTATTCTTGCAATTCCAGCAGAATTATTAAATCTATCAGCCACAGATGAATGTATCAATTTATCTTAATTTCTGAAAATACACTGAGCCTCTTTCAGTTAAAACTTCATTTTTCTGTTGCACAATGAAAGAAAAAAGGGGGTCTTTGCAGAGATTGATTAAAGCAAATTTATCCCTCCATAAATTACCATCTCCGGACTGAAATAAAACACAGCGTGTTTCAGAGAGGATAAGCAAACAGATGAATGAAGTAGTCTTATTTCCTGCAGATCAAGCAGTGTGACTGTCTGCTGTGGCATTAGAAACAAAGGGCTTGCCCAGCCACTGTCATCACTCTTGGAAACCAGCATTTTCAAAAAGGGCCAAGGAAAAGAGGCTGAATACTGCCACTGCCCCTCCTGCAGAGAATGACATTGTTACATGATTTCATTACATGCAACAAAAAGAAAAAAATGGCTCTAACCGTAATGACATCTCCAAAGAGGGTGCCCCCCTCCATCCTTCCTGCTACTGTTACGGAGGACAAGGGACCTCCGATGTGACTTTATTACTTAGTTTTGTTTGTGAGAAAACAATGGAAGAAAAGACACCGTCTTGAAAACAATGTCTTTTCTTGCACTGTTTGCTGTACAGTAGTACATGGTACGTACGTATGGTAATAACAGCTGGCTGAATACAGTTTGATATGCCTTTGAATTGCATAGCGGCATCAAGAAAAAGGAAACTGTTTTGCGAGAGATCAGCCATGACTTGTTTGTCAGGGAGACAGATGAGGAATTTTAGCCGCCAAAGCTAAATTGTGCACTATGTCAGCATCACTACCATCTTCTAGCCTCGTGCCGAGGTCAACTAGCTTAGTTTAGTGGCATTCAGACACCTATAAAATTCTATATTCAACCTCTGAAAGAGAAACCACATGTTGGCGCAAACAGAGTTTAATGTAGAAATCTTTACTTGACTTGTTCCAGGCTATGGAAAGGATTCTCACCACTGAAGAGAAGAATAGCCACCTGCCTTCGGTGGTCTGGGACATTCTAGTGGGTTTGCTAGAATGGATTTCAGAGTGCCATATTCCAAGATAACACAGGTACCAGCGGTCTTCCTGGGCCACAGCGACTCGTTACTATTAGTATGCATTTCTGGTCAGCTGGCTAACTCTTATGTTAAAGCCCTCAATCGAACAGCTTGGTCAATCAGTAAGTAACAGAATTGTCCCCAAGCCAGGCAGATAATGATCTGAAGTCATTGCCAGCAACAGCGTTATTATTCCAACTGTTGAGCATTTCTTACAGGGTAATTAATAGTCTCAGTTCCTTGCAGCCAGGAGTCAGATGGATTGACTACAGACAGTAAGTTACTCTCATCTCTGGGAACTCAAGCTCAGGACTGAGGTACTCATCTGGGCAAACACTGAGCTGCCTGAACCTTCCTTCCCTCAAGAAGGAGAGTATTTCATCTTCTTGCCAGGGTGAGTACTAAGAAGCCTAACAAGTCAGAGCAAGCTCCATGCAAGCGGACTTACCCTTGCGGGAAGAGCACATGCGTCTGAAGCTGTGATCACAGAACAGGGGACGCCCCAGCTAATCATGCTCAAAAACTGACCCTCACAAATGACTGGTCACACCATTGCTGTTTCTTCTGTGTACTATCTTACTACTCCCAGCTCTTTCACCTTTAGTCACACGCAAAAGCAAGGACAAGATAGATCATTCACATTCTGTGCCTCAGAACAATTCTTACTTTTCAAAACAAAAGTAATTTCCAGAGAACATAGCTCACCTTAAAGGATATTTCATACTGCTCTCCTCCCCATATCTCCAGACCTGCATCATACCCTCCCAGCTCCCAGAACCACTTTCTATCGACTGCAAACAGTCCTCCAGCCATTACAGGAGACCTTAAGGAAAAACCAGACTCCATATTACAAACACATTCAAAGATACAGATCTCTAGCTAAACATTTAAAAAACAAAGCAAGAGTTGACAAACATTCTTTTCACCACCCCCTGTAGGGTGCCTTTGTAGCCCTGTCGGAGCATCAAACAGTTGGTTTTGCATTATCTACTAATTTCCCACTTGCAGATGAGGACCACCAGACTAGGCTCCCTTCAGAACCAGTCAGTGCCTCTCCTCCAAACAGGCAAAAGAGTTCACCATTAAGTGACAAGACATAATCTCTCCCAGCGGGACCCACATGCTGCACACTTGGTGCTCTGTCTCAGTAGTACGATCAAGGCATTGAGCTTGACCTCAAGGAGTGTTTTGCGGGGGTTTTTTGGAACACTGCAGAAGTATAAAGGACAGCAGAACTGTCTCAACGCTGGCAAGCACAGCAACAGCAGAACATAACTTGATCACAGATTTACTTCTGCAATGCACTGCAATCATCAAAATTGCTGTAATTATTCCACTAGGTTTTCTTCTTCCCCCACCTGGGAATGACATATAAGCCGCCATTGGTTTGTTGTTTTTGGCAGAGCATTAGGGATACTAAGTTATGTTTGAAAGACTTCAGTAATAAATGACCACATTAAATGTTACACATTACAGTTTTAAATGAAATGTTAACTTCTCCGGGAATTAGGGTGGCAAAAAATAGCAACAAAAAGGAGTGTTCACAGCTACTACACAATGCATTTCTTTTAAACCAACAAAGCAAACAGCTGCCAAAAAGCAAGTAGCTTAACACCAGCTTCTGACTTTTACTACATGGAGGTGTAAACCAGCTCTGTAACAGGGTGTTATTTTGTTAGCCAGCTCTTAGCACACTGCATTTCAGTAACTTACTCAAAGGGATCACTGGGATCAGGTTTCTGTAACTCGGGAGGAATAGGGATCCTCTTGTAATACATCTCCCAGTCAAATGCGCCTCGCATTGCATCTCCAGCCTGAGTCTCATATCCAAAGTGGTCATGATCAATAACATCAATCATGGGACAAACAATAGTCTTGCGATTTCGGGCAATGCGATCTGCAGATTGGAGAAACATGTTAGAAAACCTGCACCACTTGGTTCCTTTGACCATGAAATTACAGAAAAAGAGCATCAAAATATGAAAGTTGTTCAAGAACGACATAGCTTTCTTCCCGTTTGTTCTCTTTTGGGCAGATGCTCCAATTTCTATCAATTTATCTGGTATTTTTGCAATAATTGAGATATTCAAGCTAGAACTATTGAGGTAAGAACACCAGGCACTCATGCTACAGTGACTATCACCCAGAAGGAGAATAGAAGGACACAGCCACACTACCACAGATACCTAAACCGCCAGGCTAAAAACAGGCTTGTACTTAGCGAACAGTCCTCATTTTAACAAGCGACCGGGATGTGAACCCTTTCTGCACTGATTCAAAGCCAGGGCAATAACCCATTGTACCACCTAGCTCTAATTGCTATGCCAGAATCTGGCAGGAAGCGATTCAGACTAATGGCATAACTACTCTCTGGAGGCTCAAGAAATGCAAGTGTACCTCCTCCCCTCAACCTTTTCTTCCAACCAAATAATACAAGACAGGATTAATTCCTGCATAAACATCTGGAACTTCTTAAATACTTTATTACTGAGACGGTCTCTTGTTGGAAGTTAACTTTCAGAGCAGAGGCGACAAATGATGTTTCAGCTTCTAATGCATGTCTAACAGAAATCCTTTCTGTGCTTTAAAATTAAAGCATACTCTACATGTTCTCATTTACATGGCATTTGAGCTAATTCTGTCCTCCTTCCCTGGGGCTCACGAAACTGCAAATGTTTTACACTATCGCCAGATACAAACTGTAGTGAAAGCAACAGTATTACCATCCAACACTCCTGCTGACAAATCTGACTAGTTTTTCTTAAACCTCCACTTGACTATTGTGACACAGTTTATTTGACAAAGTCACACCTCAGAGACAGCTTTGACAGGTCACTTGCAATAGGGTTGTGAAGGAGTTTGGTACTGGCCAGAGGCATACAGGTACCAGAAACAGAAGGCACTGTCTTTTCAATTAGTCATCCTTGAAAAGAACTGACATTGTAAAACTGATGCCTCCTTGAAGATGAAGCACTGCCTTGGAAAGGACTGTACGTGTTCTACAAATACATACTAGCAGCTACCATTCACAAGAAGTATTTTCCACAGGGTTGCAGACTATGAAGTTAAATATAGTTATATAGGAGAAAAAACCCCTAAAAGCTACTTAAAAACTGTATGTAAAGACCTTTTCTGCATCATAAAGCCATTCCTGTCTGCAAGCTGCTGAATGACCATGCGATAGTTTACTCTTCCAGCAACTTGTAAATTATTTAAGATTTCATTTAGTGAGGAAACAGAAGAGTACAGTCTCTGCTCTTTAATTAAGCAAAGCACATGATAGGGTTATTGTACAATGCAGGACTCTAGAGCAGAAAAAGATTATTGTATTAAAGGCTACAAGTTGCCAACAGTTCACCTGAGTCTTGTGGTTGGTTGTTTTTTTGGGGTTTTTTTTTGTTTTTGTTTGTTTGTTTTCCCTTTTAAGAGTTTTAATTTTTCTTTTGTCCACTTACAGCACAAGGAGAAAGCAGCAGGTGGAAATAAAACAAATTCAACACCAACATCTGTTGTCAGCTCTTTAGCAGTTCAGTCTTCAGCCAAGCACCACACGCTTACCCAACAGAGGTGGCAGCCAGTTCACGTTGGCCTCGCAATGGGAATCCAAGAAGGTGATGACATCCCCTATCGCCACAGAGGCCCCCAGCATTCGAGTTCTTATCAGCCCTTCTCTCTTTTTGGTTCGGAGGATTCTCACATTTGGGAACTGAGCCATATAATCTTCCAGGCGTTTCTTCAGGTGTTCTGTTTGAAAATGAGAAATTTAAACACTGTAACAACTGATTTCTTAAAAATGCAGTTCCTTCTTTACCAGAAGGAGATGTCTTCGGAAGTATGTCCTGAACAGTTAACAAATGCAATAACAGGAAAAAGGAAATAAGAATAATTTATTTTAAATCCAGGGCTTAAACATAAGTGCTTAACCAAGACTTCTGAAGATGTTCCAAAACCTTAGAAGCAATTAAAAAAGAGGAACTAAAAGATGGAGGAGTGCAGGATGAGAAAAGCAGCAGAGAAAAAGAAATAAAAAGGGGGCTGGCAGACCTCTGGGAGAACTTTATCAGACCAGGGATTCTTGGACACTTTTGTGGAAAACCAGTGTAGCTTAGAAGAGACACAGAACAATTTACTTTCAGAAGTAAACTGCGCTCAGTGCATTTAAGTTGCATTTGGTTTCTTCAAAACACACAACATGACCATTCACTCATGCATAAATAAAAAACAGCAAAAAGCCTAGTCAGACATCCTTCCAAGCTGGCAAGGCAGGCATAGCCGCTGTATATATTTAGATGGTTACATTAAATACTTATCAGTGGAGATATTTGCATTTAAATATGGAAATATTTACGCTACTGAATATGGACTGGAGCCACATCTGAATTAGCACAGACACTTGCAGTCACCACGATTAACAAGAATTTAAACAGGAGAGCTGCAGAAAAAGATTACTGAGTGATCAAAACAATGGACGGCTTGTTTAGACGTGGAAATAAAAAGCTTGGTCTACATAAAGAGTGAGGGGCACACAGCTGTCTTTACATCAAAGAGTGAAGCACCAAAGAAAAACCTAAAAATAGGCTAAGAGCTGATGCTGGCCTAATCACTAATGGGTTGATCTTTAGGCATCTGAAGTCTTGGCTTACTTGACAGCAAACCCCATTCACAGTGTGCCAGGGACTGTTCATTAATGCACCATACTATCCGCTGCCATCAGCGACTGATCAAGGAAACAAGCCTTGCTAGGCAAAAGCTAGTTTGTCACATCTAAGCAATTAACCAATCTTAAAATCTCACACAACAAAACTTGAATAGAGGCAATCATTCAAATACAAATAACCTCACAGGTTTATTTGCCTTGACTATAGGGAACAAATCCATTCCATTCTGTATAGCAGAGTCTTCCTTGGCTTCCAAAGCAGGCATGAAAGGCTGGGGCTGAAAAGGCAGACAGTGTGAAAGCGCCCCTGAACAGGGCACCAGGGAAGCCGGGTACTGGAATAGCTCTCTAAAAAGAGCAAAGGGGCAAATAAACTTAAGTAAGTTATGAGCTCTCCCACATGGTGCTGACCCAGCAATTATGCTTTAGGGTTTTAGCTACTGGAGGAAAAAAAACGGGCAAAATCCCTGCGACTAACAGACATTCTGCACCTTCTCTTTGAAGCAGTCATCACCTGCCTTCCTTCAAAGATCACCTGAATACAACTTCTTTGCTTTTGAGTTATTGCGAGCAAGCTCTTTACCTATTTCAAAGCTTGCTTTAACACTCCCCAGGATTTTTTGCTCACAAATGCATTTTAGTGTTTTGCCTGACAAGTCTAATTGTCCCACAATATCTACATAGGTTTCCCTGCTCAATAGAGCCTTTAGTACTTCTTGCTGTCTAGCACGCTTTTCCCTCATCCTTTTCAAATCTTTTCTGAATAGATCCTCTCAAGCAACCAGAAATTTTGTCCACTCAATTACAGATTTATCAAATAAGGGCCTTCCATAGAGACTAGATATATTATTAGTGCAGCTGCCTTCCTCCTGAGGCAGTGGGTAGACTTAAAAAGACAAAAAAAAAAAAAAAAAAAAAAAAAAGAAAAAGAAAAGAAAAGAAAAGCCACTACCACTGTTCTTTAACATCACAGCTCATCCCTTGCTGTTGTTAGTTTATCACAAAAGATTAGTTCATCGGAAAAGAGAAGAACAATTCTCACTTCAAGCATAAATCAGCTAGGCCCAAGCCAGGAGATACACCTTAGTTAATCTACCCCAAGGAAGATAAACAGGAGAGTGGCTGCCAGTGCTCATTATAATAAAGGAGGGAACCATCACACAGAAGCTCTGGGTCCAATTCCCCTAACAGTAGCCACAGATACTGTAGCACTTGCAACATCAGACCCCACAATATTTACGTTATCTAAACCAGACCTACAAAGCACTGGAAAGTCTTAAAAAATCCAAAGCTCCAAAACAATGGAAAAGTAATACAGACTTTCTGCGACTCTTTATTTTGACAGAAACAAGAAAATGAGACCATGAAAGATCCTAGAGGTTTGTCTTCCACCTGTGTGCTGGTCATTTTATGTTTTGGCATCATATATCTTTCTGAACTGTCCTGGTTTGTGGTGCAATTTCATCTGTGGTGACACCTGAAGGCAGCCTAACCGATTCCTGAGCATGGCACAGCTGAGCCTGCTACCAAGAAACACTAGCATGATTTTGGATCTGGTCTCACACAGGAAGATACACACCAGCAAGTGAACAAAACATCACTGGACTTGGCCATATTTGTAGTGATGATGATGGCTGCTCTGCTACAGCCTACCTGAAGGCAGGCTGATTTACATCTATTAACGAACAAGCAGCCAAGAACGGAGAGATTTCCCCATTTCTGTAGTGTAACAGGAGAACAGAAGGCATAGGAGCCACAGAGTTTTCTTAGGCGAGTACTCTGCAAAGAGACAGCAGAAGTCTAATCCATTGACTTCTCATTCCACTCCCAAATGCTGGGTTTGGTTCTTCAGCACTTCTTTATTAGGTTTCCATAGTAAAAAAATACCAAGAATTTCATGCTTGCAGCAAGTAGCCTGCTCTATGCTGCATTGGTAAGAAGCGTCTCACACATTAGGAATCTTCTTATGTCTCTGATGGCTGGAAGAAGCAAGGAAAAGCCACAGGTACTCCATCAGCACCCATGCGTTCTCACTGACGCAGGGGACACGTACACCAAGTGCTGCCCTTGTAGCCAGGAGGGATGATGCTCAGCTAAGCTGTTCCCAATTGCTGCAGAAAAATCCATGCTCGATCACTGCATTTTGTCAGGTTAAGACTTATGTATCGTGAACTGCAAGCAAGCAGACTTTACTGTATCTACTTTGCTTGGAAGTCGGTGAGTCTTTAGTAAGGGAATCTCACAAACAATGTACAAACCACAGTGAAACATACTTTTCAAAGACAATGTTTTCTTATTTCCTTATCCCTGCACTATTCCTGCCCCTCAGCCTGGCCTCCACACACCCAGACAGAAAATATTTATTTCACTCTATTACAAATATTGCCACAATTAAGTCAATTTTTGCTTTTAAAAGAAAATCTCAAAAAAACAAACAAGTGGCATTAACTGCTACAAAATTTTATGAGGCTTTAAAAATATATTATGGAATCTTGTCACACTGAGTAATTTTTATTACAAGGGCAATTTTCTTTAATGAAAGTTGTTAGGTGAACTGGATGGATTCCAATGGCTGCGTCTACTCTGAGCAAAGTAATAACAGCCCAAACATATAAATGAGAGTAAGATTATCTGCAGATTAAAAACTAGGCTGGTAGCTTGCTAACAGACTTCGCAATAAACTTGATATAGGGTGTATACATTAACAGTACCAGTCAAGAACTACTGCTTGCTTTATTTTGAGCTGTAAATAAAACTGCGAAGATAGAGGAGAAGTATCACTAGCATGTCTGCTTAAGTCCCAAAGCTCTCCAAAGAAAGACTTTTTTTTCCTAGGTCAAATTCCTGTGGTGGCCTTACTACACTTCTTCCTCCTGGCCTCACCCTTGAAGCAGAGCTTCCCTCAGACACCATTAGCCTGGTGACTGACCACTTGCAGCATGGCAAGGACTTTCCAGGCTAGGAATTTCTTCCATCCAGCTGAGTTTTCATTCCAGCCGCTGCACGCCTGCCAATTGAACAGGCACCTAAGAAATGTTACCACTTCAAAACCAAACATACGCAGAAGCCAGAGGAGGACAGAGGAACCCAAGGATTTTTGTTTTTTTTACAGCTTAAAGAGGCAAATGCATGAGAAACAAGGCAACTTGGACATGGACCTGCAAGACTGGAACAGCTTAAATAGAACTGCAGTCGCAGGGTCCATGGGACTCAACTGTTACAGTCCAAGCAGAAGTCACCTCAGTACATCCCTTCACAGCAAACCATGCAGCCTGCCTCCACTCAGCAGTGTCTGGATCCTCCCTGTCTCTTTCACATCCCATGGGCTCAGCCGTGTTTGCTTGTGCAAAATCATCAGTAGGTTTGTAGCCTATTTTGAATTGATTTGGCTCCGACCAAAGTAATTTTCCCATAGAAGTCAGTGGAAGTGATACAGCAAGTCTCACGTTTCTAACGTTTTTAAATAATGTCTTGCCTGCATGCTTTAAGTTCAACGGCTGTTCCCCTCAAGAGCTGCTCTGCAGTACAAAGAAACCTCATTCCCTCCAGCTCAGTTTTGCAGACAGCAGCAGGCCACTGTAATCACAGCTCACAGATGAAGCCTGGCCTGGTTTGTGTCCTTTTCCCTCCCCCAAATCACACACCAAGACCTGAAGCACCTGCTTAGAGGTAACTGCATATGGGGTGGTTACTTTCCCCATAGACACCTACAAAACCCACTGCTACACGCAACCAGAGCGTACCTCCCTCACTAGGCAAACCGGATGCATGTGCTAGGCTGCTTCCCAGTAGGCTGGGTGAGTTAAAGTAGCAGCATCAGGCCTGCTGAGAACTTGAGAGCTTGTTTTGTTCTTAAGCAGGAGATGCTGCTTAAAAGATGTGGAGCTGCAGCTCATTCTCTCCTGAGATGCACAGATTGGTGGTGTTTTGAGGAAGTCACTGGGCTCTCTTAGAGCAGACTCATGTTGTACGGGCACTCGGGGACTCTCCAGAGCTCAAAGATTAAGACAACCTCCACCTCTGACTGCAGCGATTTGTGGGCAGCTGCAACTGAGAGGTGCTCAACACACGAATCCTTCAGAGTACA